CAAAGAGTTTGGAAATTCACTTAACCTATCTAACCTATTCATGACCTTAATTCTTATCTCTTCAAGCATAGTAATAATGGTTTTATGCCTTGCAAACAAAATCCAAACATTAAAGCTTTCACACATATTATTATTATCTATTGCATTAGACTTGACTTCACAATTAAAATACACCTTACACCATTATTCTTTATCATAGTAAATTAGGTCATCCACTATATCTGTACCTTCAGTACCTAATTTAGACAACTCGTGCAGATTTTCTCTGAATTCAGCTTCAAAAGTAATTCTAGCACACTTCCAGAACTACTTCTTCCTTTGCAGCCCTCTCCAATGATCTTGAAGGATTCCCAAGAAATTCTTCGATTTCTTCTGGAAACAGATGATTAATCATCTGTTGCTCACGTTTCGTGAATAGCCGGGACATTGAGGAATATCCAGAAAGGCATCTTTGACCAATTTGCTAGTATATGCCTAGCACACCTTCTTTTCTCTCAAGCTGGCAACAACTCCTTTATAGCTATATCTAGTCCCTACAAGTTACAACAAACATTAGATAATTAAGTTTAAAAAATAATAAACCAACAGATAATTTTAAACATGTTTACTTTTGCATGTCTGACATAATTGGAAAACTTGTTCCATCTCCTAATCTCAAGTCTTCTTTCAACAGAGAAATAAACCAACTCCAAGTGATTGTGTTCTCATTTTCAACTACAGCCCAAGCAAGTGGAAGCATTGATTATTGCCATCTTTAGCCACTGCAATAAGTAATTTCCCCCTGCAAACCCCCTTCAAGAAACAACCATCCAGACCAATGCATTTTCTAGCTGACACAAATGTCATCTTGAGTGCAGCAAAACAAATGTAAAATGCCTCAAATACTGGCCTACCAGATCCATTAGCTTCTCCTAGCTTCACCGCACAAGTACTCCCAGGATTAGTCCTCAGCAACTCATCCTTATAATCAAGAATTCTTCCAAATTTCTTAACATGATCACCCATAAGTTCATTCAAAATTTTAGCTCTTGCTCTTCTAGTTGTGTTCTTACCAACATGCACATTATACTTCTTACGGATTAACTCTTGCAGCTTGAACACTCTAATATTTGGTTGTTCAATAACTTTCTTTTTAAAAACAGTAGCAATGAATGTAGAGTTGCACAAATAATTCCTAATAGCCTTTTGACATGAATGGACTGACATGTAAGTCTTAATAACAAAGTTATTAGTCTTCTTGTCCAAACTTGCATATAACAACCATTTGCAATTTACCTTGCAACATCTCAGCTTACTCTATTTGTCTCATTCACACACTTTTCAATCTGAACCCCTCTCTGAATTCCATACTTAGTGACTGCCAATCTTAACTCTTTTACACTTTCAAAAATCATACCCAATTGCCACACAATCTTCTTAATAATGGGATCAAATCTGACTCTCTCTATGGTATGCTTTTTCCTTTTTGTGTTAGGCAGTTTCAACTTCATTTTTTCACCTTCCTCTAGACAATTATCATCTGTGTCAGTTTCAAAACTACGAGCATCAGAACTTGCATAATATGGTTCATCACCCTCCAACCTTCCTTCTAAAGTACATCTATTGATAGCTGTCTCATCAAAAACCCAAGATTTGCTCCAGCATTACCACATGCTACTTCTTCAGTATCTGCATGAATTCTTTCCCTTATTTTTCTCCTCCTAAGAAAAGGTCTTTTCTCAGCCCTCAGTTGAATTAACTCCTTATGAACATCACTTCCATATTGATCATCTTCAAATATTTCACTATCTTCAGAATCATCACTCTCTTCAGTTGACTCATCAGATACTTTTACAGAGTATTCACTATCTTCAAAATCTGATGGATCACTATTTGGAGTTGTTGGGTTTGAAGTAGAATGAATATTTGCGGTAGTATTTATAGTTATATCTACCCCATTAAAATCAACCTCACCTACTTCATTATAATCACTAGCCTCAGTGGTCTTAACTTTATTAAAAGTTGCACCAGATTTCTCACCAGGCATGTGGACATATACTTCCAAGACAGACCCACTTTGCAAACAATTACACATTGCTAAGAGAATATCATCATTGTCAATATCTCCTAAGATGCAACTATTAGGTGGCCGGACGCTAAATTTGCAATTTGGGCTATACCCTAGTTCTTTAATGTAGTCTTTAATCTCAAAATATGATATTGTATCCACATTAATATCATAATATTCACTCACTAACCCACCCACATATCTTGCTTTATCACCTTCATACAATAAGGCCCCACCATGATACAACTTTAAAGTAATGAATGTAAACCCACTCATACCTATATGCATAAACATAACAATAATTAAGTAAAAGTTGCTAATAGAATATAATAATTGACTACAGAAAATACATACCCAAATAGTTATAAAAACAATTCAAGTTGAAGAAAACACATACCCACACATACATAACACAATACCCCACATAAACAACACAATACACGACATATCTTTATCTTCTTACAATTAGGTATGTACCCCTCACAGACACAACACAACACCCAACATATATTTTCTTCTTAGGATAATGTTATTTAACTTTAACTTCACACCCACACAGACACAACACAACACCAACATGAAGTTACTTTATTGTAACCCAGAATATAAGACAACACAACACCCAACTCGTCTTTATCTTCTTGCATATTTCATATTATAACAACATAACTCACACAACTATAATACCACCCAACCAACCCACACTCAAAACACGTTTCATATAAATGTATGAATAACAAGTTACATACCCCATAACAACAAAGGTGACAGTATGAATATATGAATAACATCAACCCTAAAAATACGAAATTTGATCTAACAGAACCACAACATAAACCCTAAAAGTTATATTTCACTCAAAATCGAAATCAATATTTAACAACATATCATGACCCCTACAAAATCTAAGCATAACAATAACAAAAAACAAAATAAATGAAGAAAAAACTAACCTTTGAACTCAACTCAACCACGATTCTTGCTGAATAAAATCGACCCACACTTTCAGATCAGACAAAATTACTATTGGATATGTGTTTACCTTAAGTGGTGGTGCAATATCTTGATAATCAGTTGAACAGATAATGTTAGATAATTATGGAGTCAAAGTTTGTAGCTCTAAGCTGACTGGTTCAAAAGCTGAATGGCTAAGAAATTTCGTAGTAAATATTCCTTTAATAAAGAATGAATTTGATGAAGGATGAATTATTGATCATTTCGATAAAGGATGAATTGTTGATCCCTTTAATGATAATGAATTACCAGTCTTTAATAAGAATGAATCGTTGATCGCTTTAATATAGAATGAATCACCAGATGATCTTTTTGATAAGGATGAATTGTTTCATGTATTTATATACTGGATTATGAAGCTACAATTGATATTGCGAAGAATAAATCTTGCAGTTATAAGAGAAGACATGTGAAATTGAGGCATGATCGATGTCGTTAAGCATATGCTGAAAGATGGAATAATTGCAATTGATTATGTGAAGACAGAATTGAATATCGATCAATTCATTGACGAAATTCGTGGAAAGAAAATTAATATTTTAAACCTCAATAGAAATGTATTCAAGGTCAATTGATTGTCAATAATTAATTCAATATTTTAAAAAAATCGTACAAATTAAACTGTATATATGAATGTCATATCGAGTATTAAACCTTTTAATTAATCTGTTTTGAATTCTTAGTACTCATAAAAAGTACCTTAAATCACAGAAAATTATCATCCTATAGCAGTCAATTACAAAATTTATTATAAGAATTATCATCCTATAGCAGTCAATTATAAAATTTATTATAAGAATTAAGATGCATAATGAAATTTAGTACTCCTATGATTACAGATGTAATAATCTCCTTAAACAAGGTTTACCATAATAAACAATTCAATGTCAACGTCCAGGCCGGTGCATTATTCTATTTTCAAAATATTATATCGGATTCTATGAACAATATTTATTATTATAATTAACTTGGAAGTCTATTTTTATCAAATAGTGAAGATAAAATAAATAAATATGGCTCTTACTTACAAGTTAATTCTTTTGAAAAATATATGTATATGTTTGAAAAAGGGTGTAACTATTTCACATACACTATGATTGAAATGACAAAGACACATCTTAACTAAACTAAGATTCAACTATCCCTGAATCTATTTTTATTGTAATTTTGTATACCTTTTGATTTACGTAACACAGTGCACAAAAAATAAATTTTTGTCAAATTTCCAAGTATATAAGTTCACTCCCATTAAAACAATATTCATGCATAGGATTTCATATTAGTGGTACTCCATAACCTCATTTTGAGGTCCAAATTAAATCATCTAACTTTTAGAACCTTCTAATTGAATGGAAGGAGTAGGGACTAATATATAGTAGTAACGACGGCTAATGCTAAATAATTAGAAAATTTTGTTAAAAATTTATAATATTTTTTTATTTTAAATTAGAGTAATCTTTTTTTATTTTAAATTAAAAGATATTATAAAATTAAAAAATTAAAATATTAAAAAGATAAAATAAAATAACTAAATATTTTATTTTACCATTGTAGTCATTATTCTAGGCCAGAAGGATTTTTCGAATCTATGCGATCATAACTTCATTTGAATTTATTTTAATCAGACTTCAAAAAGTCAAACAATAAGAATTAGTGCTAAATCCAATAAAGTTTGTCCAACCTTTGAATCCATCCCATTTTATTTTTTTGTAAGTCAACGAATATTCTATACTATGACTTTTTGCAGAAATAAAGGTTTACAAAATTTTATATTCCACTCAGTTCCTAAATGAAACATAGAATAATACGAAATCTAATTAAAATAATATATATGTAACATTCTACTTGAAGAGAAATAAATAAAAATAGGTTGACTAGGACACGAAGCAATATGTTATGGAATATTGTATCACACTATGACATGAGTGACCATCTCAAATCTCAACTATATGAATTGAAATTTTCCTCAACTCTTAAATAGAAACAAATTGAAGAAATCAAAATATATGCACAAAAACATCTTATAATTTAGAGGAAAGAAGATGGGAGAAGAGTGTGTAGATATGAAGATGGAAGGTTTAGAGAAGTGTAAACGATCAGAACGAGGTCACTTGGTTCTGATACATGGGATAGGGGGAGGAGGGTGGTGTTGGTACAAAATTAGGTCTCTTATAGAGAATTGTGGCTATAAAGTCACCTCTCTTGACCTTAAAGGTGCTGGCATCGACCCATCTGACCCTAACACTATCTTATCCTTTCATGAATATAACAAACCTCTACTAGATTTGTTGTCATCTTTGCCTCATAATGAACAGGTATGATACCTATGATATTATGTCTAACTTATATGAATATTATCGTATCAAATCGTTATTAATTTATTTATTGAACGGATAAATATAGGTAATATTGGTAGGACATAGCGCTGGAGGAATGAGTGTAACAGATGCTATCCACAAATTCCCAAAGAAAATAAAGTTTGCAGTGTATATTGCAGCAACCATGCTAAGAACTGGTTTCATGTCTCAACAAGATGTTAAAGATGTAAGTAAACAACTATCTTCTTTCCTTAAATTGATCGAAAACGTTTTTAATTTGATATTCTATTATTTATGTGATATATTTTTCTTTTTTAAAAAAAATTACTTTTTGTAACTTGACTCTATTTAATAAATATTTTACTAAATGGAGACATATAAATAATAGTTTAGGAATGTGAATTAAATAACAACTATAAGAATTTATAAAACCAATAGTTTTGTCCAACCTTGGATCTATATATCCCTTTTTAAGTCAACCAATTCTTTTATTAATTGTGACTTTTTAAAACATGTTTAAGAGTAAAATTTATTTTATAATTTGTTAATACACTATTTGGTCCTATAAGTTGTTACTCTGGCTTCACATTAAATTATGTCGCATTATTCAACATAATTTAATTATCATTTATGTAACCACAACATTTCCATCAAGCAATTATATATATTAGATCAATTATTAAATCCGTAGATTGAAGAATATTTCTTTAAGCAACACCATATATCCATCTATGCTAAATTGGGGACAGCTAGCTACGTTACAATTATTAAGGCTAATGGTTTATCTTTTTATAATTATTCAGCTATAATAATAGTAATTTTAAAAGGAAAAATTAGTGAAATACACATTTTATGTTTCCTTTATTTTTAATATTCCTTTTTATTTTTAAAAACCTTTAAAATTTCTTATCTCTTTAATGTATTCGAGCTACATATTAATATATTTGAGCCATTATTTAATGTATCCGAACTACATATTATGTATCTGATTTATTTTATAATGTATCCGAGCCACATATATGTATCCCGTTTCTATTATAATGTATCTGAAATAATGTTTTATGTATTCGGTTTATGTTACTTTTTAAGAGATTAATGTAATTACAAACTAAAGATGGATAGTTTGTTATTTTATATTAAAATTGTGTAATTCCTAAAATTTATTCAATTTATAATATTTTATTATAACTCGCAGGGAGTCCCTGATTTATCAGAATTTGGAGATGTATATGATATGGAATTTGGATTAGGGCCTGAAAAGCCTCCAACAAGTGTTGTTGTTAAGAAAAATTTACAACGGGAAATCATTTACCAAATGAGCCCACTTGAGGTAATTAAATCCATACAAGTTATTTTCGAAATAAATTATAATATAAGATATTTACTTAGTTTAAAGTGAAACGTACTTTTATCTCAAAAAGTTAATTAACCTTACCTCAACTTTCTTAAACGACATTGGGAAAAGGGCTAATGTGACATTTTGATTCTTAATCTTTAGATTACTAATTCCCAGATTGTTGACCCCATGAAGTATGGTTAAAAATAATGCACGACTAATCTTGAAATTATAATTCGGTATCTCATAAGCCAAACAATCCATTTTCTTCATACATGTAATGTAATGAAATTTTGTTTTTTTTTCTTAGGATTCAACGTTAGCATCAATGTTGTTACGTCCAGGACCAATTCAAGCATTACAAAGCGCTCAATTCAAAGAAGAAGAGGGCGTGGAGAGAGTGGATAGAATATACATACGAACGACGCATGATCGAGTGTTGAAGTTGGAACAACAAGATGCAATGATAAGAAGATGGAAGCCACAACATGTTTACACTTTGGAAAGTGATCACAGCCCATTCTTTTCTGCTCCTTTGGCGCTCTTTGGTCTGCTTGTCAAAGTTGCTGCTTCTTTTGACTAAGATAGTTTCAATAACTAAAACTAACAAATAATTAATTTGAAAGTTTACTAACAGCTTGGCCCATTAGCTCAGTTGGTTAGAGCATCGTGCTAATAACGCGAAGGTCGCAGGTTCGAGACCTGCATGGGCCAATATAATATTTTTTTTTGATTATTCAGTCAATGTAGGATTTTTTGCATTTACATTTGTATCCCAACTCTCCAATAATAATATACAAGATATGTTTATACAATATTATAAAAAATATGGATTTTATCTTCTTTCTTTTATCAAAACATCAGATTCATTCAAAATTATTAATGCTCAATTATATGTACTGCACTTCGAACAAGCAAAACGAATAAATTAGTTAATTGCTTCATTACTACTATTGCAATAACCATCTTCATTGAAGAAACTGACTTCAATTAATTAACCAATTAATAAAATTATATTTGAGAATTTCAAAGATGGACATAGAATGAATATGGGAAGAGAGAAGGGGGATGTGTTTGGGTGTGCAGAAAAGAGAGAGGAAACAAAAGATAGCAATAGATTACTACTATCAAAAATATTATGCGTCAAAAATAGTATTTCACTTTAAAAATAAATGTGATTTATATCGGTAAGTCTTAAATACTATCAAAACTAACTATAAGTTTGTATAACGTAGCAAGATAGAAACAAGATACATGACTTCCGTAACAAGTTGAATCTTCATTGCAACAAATAACAAGTAGTATCCATGACACTGGAGTAATGAGGTAGTTCAGAGTTAGTGCAACAAACATCATTCCGTACATTGTGAAGTAGACGAAACACGTCACTTTGTTATCCCGAGTCGATTGTTCATCATTTTCATCAATAACTATATCATCACTTTCATATGCACTGATATTTTATCATTGTTTTGGTGTTCATGTAAAAAAAATTAAGTAATACAGTACAATCAACTACAGTAAAACCTGTATAAATTAATATAGGTGGACCATGAAAGTTTATTATTTTATAAAGATATTATTTAATCGATAAATTAATATTTATTAATTTAAAAAATAATTTAAAATCTGATGAAGGTTAATTTAAATTATATTGATATAATTGTATCTTACTAATTTATGTGTCATATTGATTGATTTCATATAAAAATATATATTACATAAAGTACAACGAATATATCAGAATTATCGTATCTTACTGATTTCAATCTTGTGATGTTGTGATAATAAAAACTTTCAAGATATATTATAGAACATATTTTATCGTAGGATATTAGAAGGTTATGAAGTGGGACAAATTGATCCAGCAAAGATCGATGTTTCGGATGTTATTAATTTGTAATCCCTATTTGAATAACAAATGTTCTACAAAAGACAATAGCAAATTGTTTCGACACTGTAAAACCAGTTCGAGAGATGTAATCTCAGAGAATTTGAACGAACATACCTGTGAAAACGACATTTATGAACTTGATATTATGATTAATGATCTCGATTACCACAAATGGATGTCAATAACCTATTAAATTATACGGGTGAAAGTGATACATGTTCAGAGGTCCGGAGCTTAGAAAAAAATGGAAATACCATCGGAAAGAGCAATATTGATGATGAAGTTGAAGATGATATTATACGTTTGGAACCAGCTATGCATAAGGAAATACTTATCACATCTTGAACTCTTCATAAATTTATAGTGCATATCGAAAAGACTACATTGGAGCTCTTGGATGCAATAAGAAAAGTTAGAGATGAGATTCAACTAGATTTAAATTTCAAGAAAAGCCAAAACACGATATAATCATATTTTACTAAATTGTCTTAGATGTATTTGTACTTTTAAAGAATTATTAATTTATATATTTATATACGGGTTATCTAAAAATATATTATCTTATTATCATATAGAAATTAGTGATTTTTTCCATTGGCCCAAGTCGGATCAGTAGAAAAATATTATTCTAAAGAGATTATTAATTTATCAAGTATTATTTATAGAGACTTTACTATAATATAGAGGGTGTTTTGGTAAAAGTTAAAAGTTTGTTGTAGAATTTGAATCTTTTAAGTATTATTCTAGTATAAAACATCCTTCAAGTATTTGAAAGTGAACAATTTTCTTCCTTCTATTTTAATTTATCAAAAACTAACCGTCACAAAAATGAAGTCATTCTTTCGTGATTATTATTTTAAGTGTACCAAAAAATTTATCGTGTATTTTTTCAGTAATTGAGTTTAGTATTATGCAAAACATTTTAAAATTGATAGTTTTTCTTTTACTTTTCATGTAATTAGATATTAAAAATATTATTAATTGAATATTTAGGTATCAATATTACATAATTTTTTTTCTACTTTCAAACAAAAGTTATTATTGAAGTTTTTTCTATTTGGAATCGATCTGTTTCTTCTCAATTGAATAAGCTAGAAGCAGCGTTTGTTGGAGACTTTCGCCTTTAATAATGTAGAATGAAACTCAAATGCAAGACATAATCAATATTTTGATCACTTCAATACCAGAATGACCTAAAAGTTTATTGATCATAATACAATATTTATTTTTAAAAAAGTAAAGATAATTGTTAAGCTCCAGCTTCTTTCTGTTACTAAATGAGAAAAAAGAGCAGATCATGTATCATCACACCTTTCAAACGTTTTTTTTGTTTTAGTAAGTAATGATTTCTAAGATTTTAAATATTTTTTAGGAACTTCTGTAGCAGGTAATGAAATAATCTAGGAAAACTTTTGTTGATAATCACGTAAACTGCTCATATTTTTGTAGGATCGATTAGTTTTTTTGATGATATCTAATAGAAGGATGAAATTGATCACTTTTAAATACTTGAAGGATTGTTTCTGCTAAGAATAATACTTTAAGGATGTTTTTGGCCAAAAACTCAAATTTTGACACAAATGCTAGTTTTCTAGTATGTAGAAACTTGAGTTATTACAAATTTTTTTAATCAAATAATGGCAAATGCAAATTGTACGGAGAACATTATTTATCAATTTTTACCCAAATATTATTTGGGAAATCTATGGCCAAACAGATCCTTGGTAAAAGACTTTATAACACATGAGAAAATAGAAAATAACTTAGTTCTAGCTCATATACTTACGAAGAGCAACTCAAATTTTAAATGTAGAATTGTGAGGCGCTATAAAATAATTCGAATTTTAACTTAGAAATTTTTGAAATGTTACAGTTTAGACTTCAAAACTCTGAATTTTAGATTTCAATGTCTGGAAATGAGCCAAAGTATTTTATCTATTGAAAATATAAGTTTTTTTTTCTATGTTACTAATCCAAAAGGGCTAAAATATTTTGGAGTCAATATTACATATTTTTTAAAATTAATTCATCATATTTGAATAATAAAGTTTCAGAAGAGATCCTCTTTAAAAACACACAATAGAAGTTAGTATGTGCAATAGTGTTTTTGAAATAAATACTACTTTCTTCGTCTCATTTTATGTGACACTATTTTTTTTTGGTCAGTTTAAAAAAGAATGTCACTATTTTCTTATATGATAAGTCTTTAAAGGTACAATTCATCTTTTACTCTTGTTGGTCCCACTTAATTTTAAGGGAGAAGGATCAAATATGCCCCTAAACTATTTGAAAAGATTTATATACCATCCCTTTAAAATTTGGTTCATTTATACCCTCGCTGTTCAACTTTTGGTCTACATATGCCCTTTTGGGCGTTAGTTGGCCAACTCGGAATATCCAACTCATTTTACTTTTATTTAAATGCCAAATGAATTTTCCACGTCATTTTTATGTATTATCACTTGACATTTATATTCAAGGAAAAAGGGTCAAATATGCCCCTAAGCTATTCGAAAGGTCTAGATATACCCCCGTTTAAAGAATGGTCACTTTATACCCTCGCGTCCAAACTTTTGGTCTACATATGCCCTTATGGATGTTAGTTGGTCAATTAGAAATATCCAACTCATTTTATTTTTCTTTAAATGCCAAATGGATTTTCCACATCATTTTTATATATTATTACTTGACATTTATATTAAAGAGAAAGGGGTCTTTTATGCCCCTAACTATCCGACCTAATTTTAAAACACATATACGACCCGTCTTTTAAATAATCTATACAACCCGACCCTTTTTTTTAAATACCCTATATGGGTCGGATTAGGGCATAATTGAACCATTTAAATGGCGAACACTATCGTGCTTTGATTGGAACCACCAAGGAATCAATGACACGACAACTAAAGGAAAAGGAAGTCGAGGTTTGAAAAGCGTTTTGGCGCAACGCAGAGCTGGAGGTGCAAACCTGGCAGGCAAGGGCTAGAGTAGAGGAATTCACCGCAACAACGTTACAAACACAACTGCAAGCTGCAGCAGGTGATAATGATGTAAATAACAAAATAATTCACACATATATGAGTCGGATTAGGGGCATAATTGAACCATTTAAAAGACGGTCGTATATGTGTTTTAAAATTGGGTCGGATGGTTAGGGCATAAGTGACCCCTTTCTCTTTTAATATAAATGTCAAGTGATAATATATATAAATGATGTGAAATCCCATTTGGCATTTAAAGAAAAGTAAAATGAGTTGGATATCTCGAGTTGACCAACTAACGCCCATAAGGGCATATGTAAACCAAAAATTGGACGCGAGGGTATAAAGTGACCATTCTTTAAACGGGGGTATATCTAGACCTTTCGAATAGTTTAGGGGCATATTTGACCCTTTTCTCTTGAATATAAATGTCAAGTGATAATACATAAAAATGACGTGGAAAATCTATTTGGCATTTAAATAAAGTAAAATGAGTTAGATATTCCGAGTTGGCCAACTAACGCCCAAAAGGGCATATGTAGACCAAAAGTTGGACGGCGAGGGTATAAATTGACAAAACTTTAAACGGAGGGTATATCCAAACCTTTTTAAATAGTTTAGGGGCATATTTGACTCTTTTCCCTAATTTTAAAGATATTATTCTATTACATTTATGAAGAGAGAGAGAAATGAGTTTACTTTTTTGAAGGATAATTTGATAAACATTTAAAGTCTTCATTATTTCTTAAATTTCGTACCGATCAAATGTTGTCACATAAAATGAGACAGAGGGAGTACTGTCTATCTAATAAATAAGAAAAAATGCACAAGTATCCCCTAACCTATGCCCGAAATC